TAATTTGATGAAGAAGCCGTTGGTTTTTGAAGTTAAGAAATTTGCAAGTATTTTTGGAGGACAAGTTTCTTTCAGCAGCCTAGGCATGGTGAGCATAGCTAATATTCGCTGTGAGTGGATAGGCATGATGAGCATAGCTAATATTTTAACTTTTTTGCATTTGACCATTTTAATCTTCCTGCGCCCTTTTTTAATATTTATAATTAATTTTTTCCTTTGGGCATATGAAGTATAATATCAGGCTTATTTGGAAAAATTAGACTGTTTTGAAGAAAATTTCATCTTCACAAAGTTGATTATTTAAAATTTTTAAGAATATTTTAAAATTATTTTATCCAAAATCCATTGGTTTAATGGTTTAGGAGGATGAGTATTTAAGGGACTAATATGATTTTTGGTTTCTATCATATGTGATGTTAGAATTTACATTTTGTATGCTATAATACTTTTAGTATTTTAACATGATAATCCAACCATACATAGTTATTGATTCATTTCTAAAAATTATAATTAATCTTAGTTTTGCATTTCAATTTCTCATAAATCAAAAAAATATATGTTATCCATTTGGTAACAACATTGTCTAATAATTATTTATGACTGTAAAGGACATTACAATAGAAACTAGATTGTAAAAGAGATTACTATGGTATTTTCCTTACTTTTTCTAGGCTTTGTCAATTTTGGGCTAGGAATAGTCAGTATTATTAACTTCACATCATGAAAAAAAAAATCCACATCAACACGTTTTTAATTTGTTTTTGTCACGTCATCAAAAAAATAATAAAAAATGCCACATAAGCGAGTTAACGATCGAAATTAACAGAAGGACTAACGGAGTGCATTTCTTAGAGTTGAGGGATCAAAAAAGTGCAAAAAATTGTTGAGGGACCAAAAATGTGCAACTCACTAAAGTTAAGGGACCAAATTTAGCATTTAACCCAATAAATATGATGCATGTGCTGATTTTTAATGAGTCAAAGAAATTTTAAAGTAGGCTACAATAAATATAATGCATGTGCTGATTTTTAATGAGTCGATGAAATTTTGAAGTAGGGACCAATTTTTGGACAAAAGAACAGTTCAAGAATAAGATAGTAGTAGAAATTTGATTTTATGTAATGCCCATATAGCAAATTATTGATAAATTGTAATCTTTATATTATTAATATATCTTTGGTGAGCCTTCATTAGATAAAGTATAGTAAAAAGTATAGTAAATTTTGAAGTCACATGAATAGTAAATATCTTAAAAGTATAATAATTTAAGATCTATATT